TTATTGTTAAGTGCCAATATACATACATATATAATGAGATTATTAATATGTGAATAAAGGGAAATAATGTGATCTACAATAATGTGGCACTATAGGCCAAGCAATCGATTGTAAGATTGGTTTGAACTTCAAGACTGGCTGTTCAAACCCACCAGTTGTTCCTTGGAAACCCTATCCAGGGTTGCTATGAGTCAGAACCAACTCAATGACACTTAACAACAGCAATAAAATTAGATTTTGATATAGAACACTCTGATTATAAAATAAATACCTATATTTAGGAGGGAAATTAAGAAAGTTGAGGTTTTCTGTTCTCATAAAGATTTACAGCCTTGGAAACCCTATGCAGGGTCACTATGAGTCAGAAACTACTCCATGGCAAGACACTACCACCACCCAGCCTGGAATATTCCCTCTGATTGTATTTTTTTCTTGTACTACATATTTATGCTATGAGTACGTACTACAATGAATTGTGATTTTCTGTATATTTATCTGCTTTTCCTATCACATCATCTATTATTTAAGATGGAAATTTTACTGGTGAAAATTTTATATTCTCAAGATCTCCTAAATGATTGACTTGTTTAATTTTTGTTGTTAATGAAAGAAGAATGAAAAAATAATAATAAAGAAAAATTAGGAATCAGCTATAGAATTTTCAGAAGAATGGGGATGTGGTTCCTCTCAAAATTTAATGAACTGCGGCAAAGCTGAGGTTTCCATTTACTATGATTGTTGGTACCACACTCTGTATTATTGCTAAGTGCTATCGAGTTGCTTCTGACACATGGCAATCCTGTGTAGGGTCTCTGAGACTTTTAAAATCTTTGCAGGAGCAGAAAGTTTTACCACTCTCTATATAGCTTCATCTTACAGGGGAGGCTGCCTATTCACACATTCTTATTCCATCCTGGTCTTCCAGTCATTAAATACACTGACCAGATTCTCTCCTCCAGAGATATCTAGTGGGCAAACCATCATTAGTTGGAAGAACTAATAGAAGACTTAATCTACATGAACCATTCCTTCTTTTTTATATATGAACATCATCAACAACACAAACCAATAATCAATAGATAATATGAGAATGTTGTTGTTGTTGTAAAGTGCTGTCGAGTCGGGTCCGACCCATAGTGACCCTGTATAGCATTTCTAAGGAGCAGCTGGTGAGCTTGAACTGCCGACCTTGCAGTTCAAATGGCTTTGCAGTCTGGCGCATTAACCCACAGCGCCACACCAGGACTCCCAAAAGAATACCAGCATTTAAAAGAGAATTCTCATTAAAAGCAAAATAAAGCAAAACTATGTCATGCCCCAAATAGGGAATAACTTAGGGAAGAGGAGTGTAATGTTTAAAAATAATCTTCTATCTAATATATTTAAACATACTACAGAGGGTATACTACAGAGGATACTTAAGTAAAGAACAGATTGCTGTTAAAACAATTTTTAACAATAAATTAAAGACTCTTGAATTAAGAAAATACATTGCAAAATTGTACTCAATGAAAGGATTGAAAAATAGAGCTAAGGCAATCCTCCAGAATCTAAAGTAAAAGAGAGAAAACACAGGGAAAAATGAGAACCTGAAATTTTGATCATTTGAACCAAAGAAATCATAAGAAGAACATAAAGCAGAATGAAGAAACTAACAAAGGAAAGAAATGCAGTACTACTGGAAAGCTGGCTTACATGTGAAAGACTTCAATTAAGTTTTCAAGTTGATAAACTTCATAGTGCAAAGGAAATAAATGACTGAAAAACACTCACTCATACCCAAATTATCTTAAAATTTTAGAACCCCAAAGATGAAGAAATTATCTTATAAGCTAAAATAATTTCATTTAAAATGGAAGAAAAAGCACTTAGACTTTTTATTAGCATTTTTTTTTTTTTTTTGCCAATTAATGAAGTCACTCTCCAATAATCCTGGTAATTAATTTTTTTATGGATTTTTTTTCATGTTTTGTTGTGAATTATATGATATTTTACATGAGAGAACTTTAGTTTTACATTCATTCTACCATATATCATTTCATTATCATGGTTCCAATCCCCTCTATGCATCATCAACCGACCAAAGGGTATACCCTATAAACCTGCCCCCTACACTCCCCACCCCCCAACCCTATTCTTCAACACACAGTCCCTCTCCCTCTCTGGATCCAATAAAATCTATACAAAATAGAAAACCTTTAGGACATGCCAAGATTCAACAAAGGCATTTACCATCTACCCTTTATTAGTAAATCATTTACAGCTGGAATCCCGGTGCAATGCTGTAGGATCAGCACTAGACTGCTAACCATAAGGTTGGTGGTTCAAGCCCATTAGGTGATCCTTGGTAACCCTATACAGAGTTGCTATGAGAACTGACTTGATGGCACTTAACAACAACAGCAACAAAGTCCATTAAAATGAGAATGCAAAGGAGAATATTTAGGAATTTAAGAAACAGTAACAGTATGTAGAATTTAAGAAATAATAGTAGTAAAATGCAGGGTTGGAGAAAAAGAGGAAGACCCTCAACAAGATAGATTGGCACAGTGACAGCAGCAATGGATTCAGGTTCAGTACGATTGTGAGGGTGGCCCAGAATTGCACAGTGTTTCATTCTGTTGTTCATAGGATTGCTCTGAGTTGGAACCAAGTCAATAGCACCTAACAACAACAATAGTAACCCAATAGAAAGAAACAGATAGAAAGCAATCCATGTTTATGCATTTGTGTGATTTGATATAACAGTAATTAAGAACACAAACAAATCAAGCATGGACCGATTAAAAGTGTTTTGTTATGAAATAGAAGAAGGTTTCAGAACTATTCCAAGATAATGCACCCAGAGCAAGGCTGATAGAAATAGAAGAATGCTAAATCACTGAATCACTGGGAAATGACATCATATTTAGTATAGTGGAGGGTCAGCAAAAAAAAAGAAAAGGATATGATTTAAATGAATTGGCACAATAGCCACAACAATGGACTCAAATCTCCCAAAGATCATGGAGATGGCTGAAAGCCAAGCAACCTTCCATTCTGTTGTACATAAGGACAGCAAGAGTCAGAGTAGACTTGGTATCCGACAGTAACAACAGACCACTGATACGACAATAAGAATCAGAGACTGTATTTACTCACCTTTCCAGTTCTGTTTTGAGTTTTCACAGTACTTGGAGAGTAAATTTTTCAATTCTGTTATTTTTGTTTCTGATTTACTTTTGAAAATGGTATGCTCTCTTGATATATTGTTTTTCATCTCCATACATAATGTCAGATTTTTCTTCAGTTGTTCCATTATACTTTGTGGACATTCAGATGTAGTTCTGTTACCACATGGAATGAATTTATGGTAATCTATAATTAACACAGGTAGATTAGTCAATGACTTTACCATAGGCATGTATATTTATTATATATTTCTTATAAATTAGAATATCACATTGTTGTTAAGTGCCGTTGAATCAATTTTGACTCATAGCAACTCTGTACAGAGTTTCCATGAAGCAGTTACTATTTTAAATTTTAATGGCGTGTACATGTTAAAGTAATAACAATATAAGGATAAGTTATTAACTTGACATATTATTATGGGTTGATTTGTAAACCCCCAACTTTTAATCTCTGGCTTCTGTGAATGGAGCCTTACTTGAAAATAATTCCTTGGCACTGTAGGAGAAGCACTAGACTGCAAAGTCGGTGGTTTAAACTCCCCAGCAGCTCCTTGGAAACCCTACAGAGCGTTGCTACGAGTTGGACCCAACTCGAAGGCTCTTTACAACAATTCATAGGTAATTAGTTAACATCAGGTCATACTGAAGTAAGGTGGGTCTGAATCTACTATTACTGGTGTCCTTATAAGAAGAGACACAGAGAGTATCCAGAAGGAAAACAACCATGTGAAGACATATCCACGTTGGAGTTGTGCTGGCATAAGGCAAGAAATATATGGGACCATCCAAAGCTACAAGAAGCAAGGCCCGTTTCCACTCTCAGAGACTTCAGAAAGGGCTTGGCCTCGCCAACACCTTGATGCCTGAGTTCTATTCTTCTGGGACTGTGAGAGAATTTCTCTTGGTAAGGCACCCAGTTTGTGGTATTTTGTTACTACAACCCTGTGAAACAAATACAAATGCATTTAAGATTATGCTTTTTTCAGAATTTTGTTATTGTTGTTGCTAAGTGCCATCGGACCGGTTCCAACTCATAGCAGCCCTGTATAGGGTTTCCAAGGAGCAACTGGTGGATTTGAACTGCTGACCTTGGGTTCAAAATGAATTTACAGTCTAGTGCTTATCTTACAGCGCCATACCAGGATTCCTTATTCAGCATGTTGTTGTTGTTGTTAGTAAGTGCAGTCGTGTCAGTTCCAACATATAGCAACCCTGTATAGGGTTTCTCAGGAGCAGCTGTTGAGCTTGAACCACCGAACTTGCAGTTCAGACATACTTTGCAGTCCAGTGCAATAACTCACAGTGCCTTACCAGGCTTCCTTATTCAGCATAGATATATACTATTTTACTAAATTGAACACCAGTTTCTTCTATAAGAAAATACTCCTGTAAAATTAAGAAGTCCACAAAGAAGATAACGCTGATGGTAAGTGTTGTGTAAGTGCCATCCAGTCGATTCCAACTCATAGATAGCTACCCTGTATTGGGTGTTACAAGAGTGGCTGGTGAGCTTGAACTGCCAACCTCGTGGTTCAAACTGACCTTAGTCTAACACATTAACCTGCAGCACCACATTAAAAAAAAAAGACTCAGCATCCCAGTTTAGGAGGCTGAAATGCTCAACAATGACAACACCAAATGCTGGCAGGACATGGAACAGCAAGAGTGATCGTTTATTGCGGATGGTATAGCCACTGAGGAGGGGGAGAGCTTGGCTGTGGCTTACAAAAATAGACATAGGCTTACCATATGATTCAATAATGACATTCCTAGCTATCTAACTGAACAAATGAGCTGAAAGTGTAAGTCCACACAAAATCTGCACACAAATGTCTGCAGCAGCTTTATAAATAGCTGTCAAATATTTGAAGAATCTAAGATGTCCCTCAGGAGGTGACTGGATAAACAAATTGTGATGCACTCATACCATGGTATAATATTTAGCAATAAAAACAAATGAGCTATCAAGTTATGAAAAGACATGGAGGAACCTGAAATGTATCGTATTCAGTGAAAGGAAAAAAGGTCTGAAAGAGTTACGTATTGTTTGACTCCAACTACATGACACTCTGTAAAAGGAAACTTGTAGAGAAAAAAAAAGGTCGGTAGTTTTATGGAGGAAGAATGGATAAATGGAGCACCAGGCAGTCTTAAGTCTCTGAGACTATTTTGCATGATACTGTGATAGTGATTACAGTATGCATTTGTCAAAACCCATACCAGTGGTAGCAGCAATGAGCTCAAGCTTAGCAATGATTGTGAGGCTGGCATGGGATCAGGCAGTGTTTCCTTGTGTTGTTCTGCAAATCAAAGTGGCTGGCTATGAGTCAATACCGACTCTATGGCACCTAACAACATCAAAAATGCCAAAGTGCAGCACAAAGAGTGAACCCTAAAAGTGTCCTGGTATGGTGCTGCAGTATAATGCACTGGGCAACAAAGTCAATTTGAACCACAAGTTGGGATTTCAAACCCACCAGCCGTTCCTCAGAAACCCTAAACAGGTATCTATGAGTTGTAACTGACTGGAAGGTACTTAACAACAACAATAGTAATAGATCAATCTTGATTAATCAATTGTAAAAATGTACCACAGGGATGCATGATGTTAATAATACGAGGAATTGAGTCTAGGGGGAGAAGGGATCTATGGGAACTTACTGTGTAATTTCACTATAAACCTAAGTCTTATCATTAAAATTGCAAAGTTCATAAAGCTGGTAGTAAATGTATGTATATATGTATATATGTATATATATGTATATATGTATATATATAAGCTCTGATATCATAGTGGTTACGAATTGGGCTGCTAATCTCAAGGTCAGCAGTTTGAAACTACCAGCTGTTCCACAAGAGAAAGATGAGGCTTTCTGCTCCCGTAAAAATTTACAGCCTCGGAAACCCTGTACAGGGTCGCTATTGGTAGGAATCTACTCGACGGCACTTAACAACAACAACAACTATATA